AGGTCTAGCAGGACAAGCACAGAGATGAGTCCACTGTCAGAGGCCATAAGAAGATCATTTGTAACCTTCACTAAGTTCAGTTACATCAGTAAACTTAGTGAAGTGGCTGCATTGGCTTAGTAACTGTTAGCTTATTAACTGTTAGCTTATTAACTGTTAACTTATTAACTGTTAGCTAATTAGCTGTTAGCTTATTAACTGTTAGCTTATTAACTGTTAGCTAATTAACTGTTAGCTAATTAACTGTTAGCTTAGTAACTGTTAGCTTAGCAACTGTTAGCTTAGTAACTGTTAGCTTACTAACTGTTAGCTTATTAACTGTTAGCTTATTAACTGTTAGCTAACGGTACCACTGAGTGAGAACTGCTTTGCTTGCAGATGCTCATGGGGTGCAGTTAGCTTCTTTAGCCAGTAGGTGTGACACGCATCAGGGCCTGGTGCTGTACAACTCTTCATACTTCAGACTCTTTCTTGGATGTTTGACACTGTGATAGTTAATGGTTCCTGTTCAGGGAGGCTGCTGTGATCTAATCCTAGCTCCACTAGCCACTTTTCTACTTCCAGTATTGCTCTCTCTCCAGCCTCAGTGCCATCTGGTCAGGCTGCTGGACTCGCTGATGCTGACTAATGGACGGTGCCACAGAGAGTCCACCTGGAGAACGTCTGGTTTATTCTTTTATGTTCTGTGTCTCTGGTATACCTCTTCTAGCAGTTAGCCAAATCTGTGAGTCATGACAGCTTCTAAGGCCTCAGGTGTGAACAGCTGTTGTGCCTCTTAGGGACCATTTTCTTCATCACACCTTTTTGTTGTGCTAACTTTCTTCTGTGCTGCCTCGATCTTTGGGTTTCAGTGATGGCCACAGTAGGGATTGTCTGTAATACTGGATTCAGTAGACTTTCAGAGGATGCTTCACGTAGTCTTGGTAGTTGGCCACAGAGAGTACAGGTTTCCAGCTAAGCCACGATGTTCTTTATCAGTTCAGCTGCTCTTGCATTCAATGCCTTTAGTTGTGTGGATGAATATATATCCCTCCTGACATGATGTTGGAACACTGAACTGCCTCACTGGAGTCTTGCATGGCTCGGTTTAATGGGTTTTTCATGTATTTATATGTATTTATATTATTCAGGTGTTCTTGGAAGCACGAGTTAACACACTTTGCCCATCACGGTTTAAGTACCTGGGACTCCCCACCATTTGGTTCTACAAATAAAGAAGCTCCTCCTACGTTCTTTCCAAGCTCCTTAGACTAGAGCAGCCGTCTCCAACCTTTTTTGAGCCACGGACCGGTTTATGCCCGACAATATTTTCATGGACCGGCCTTTAAGGTGTCGCGGATAAATACAACAAAATAAAAC